TTGTCATCCTGCCTTTTTTTTACTCAAAACTTCTGTCCTGCCTTTTTTTCAAATTTCATCCTAGCCTCCCCTTCGTATGAAATGACTTTTCTTCTTCATATACACAATTAAAAGTCCTTTGTACTCTTATAAAATTTCTTTGTGGTCCTTTGTGCTACATTGTGCTCCTTTGTGCACAAAGGAGGTCCTTTGCGGTGTTTTTAGAGACCGTAAAAAATTACCTGACCTAACGTTATGCACCCCACGAAACTTGGAAATGTGTTTAGGGTCACCAAAATTGTTATTCAATATTTATTGACTTGGAAAGTATTTTCATTTTTTGACTGAGTTGTCTACTCCTTCGTAGTTTTCTGTGTTGTAAGTGCGATGAAACATCATAGCTTTACGTTTTGAAAGGGGTATGTGGGCAAAAAAAAAGATGTGAGACAAAAATATATATGCCCATTAAACTTTTAAAGCAACATACTGTTTTAAAGTCGATATAAAATTTATTTCCTACAGATTATCTCGAATCAAGTTTAGTTCTAGAGTGTTTATCTTATTTATTACTCTCTGTTTTAAAGAAAGAAAATAGCATTAAACAATTTTAAGTGAAGATAAAACATTGATTTGTCTTCACGTTCGTATATTTCCTATTCCACTATCATAGCAATAAGAATAATATCGACTGTGTATGCTACTAGGTACTTTATATATGAGAAACAGGCAATATATGCCCTCAATTTTAGAATTCATTCATACATTTTTTGTTTTATTCAAAATTATTAGTCAATATGTGTTCTATACAGTCCGCCTAAAGTTAAGCACCACCTATTTTTATTGCATCGAATTTTTTTTTCATTTTAAAAAAACAGTTATTCCTCGAAAAAGAGAAAAAACATTCAAGTAGCAATTTTGCTAACATATACCATAAACAAACCATGAACTTAAGTTTGGTCACTTATGCAGGTTCTATACATTTAAATTTTGTGTTCATAGAAATAGTGCAAATTACACTAATCAGAAACGGAATTTAAGTTTCACTGTGATTTTATTTTTTACAACAATTAATCAGCCAATATCATTAAAATTCTCTACAAATAATCTTTGGTATGTTTGGCAAATTTAATGTCAATATTTGAGTCAATAGGATGTGTAACCACCTCTCTTCCGGTACAGTTCCATAACACGGCGTCTCATACTCTGTACAAGCCTTCTGAACTTTAGTTGAGGAAATCTATCCCATTCATCAACAATTGCCATTCTTAAATCGCCAAGATTTCGCAAAGGTGGATCTGTGCGATTGAGATTTCTGCCAATGGCATCTCAGACAAGTTCGATAGGATTCATGTCTGGAGACACGGAAGGCCAAAAGATAGTGTCAATGGCTTCTTGCTCTTTGTACTCGGTTACAATCCTTGCCCTGTGTGGTCTAGCGTTGTCGTCCATGTACAAGGGTCTTGACGCAAGTGAGTAATTATCAAAATGAGGGACTACAATGTTTCTAAGCACCAAATCCCTGTATGTCTGTCCGTTCATGTTACCCTGCAGAATATGCATACCCAGCTTACAACGGTATGAGAAGCAACCCCATACTGTAACACCACCAGCACTAAATGCAGTCGTTGGGCAAATGTTTATATTCTACCGTCTAATGGTCGTAACAGAAACCGACTCCCATCTGACCAATAATTTTTTTGCCAGCTTCTCATGTTACAGCGTCGATGATCATTAGCCCATTGGAACCTGATTATACGGTGCCTGGCTGTTAGGGCAGGTCTCTTGACACACGGCGTGCTCTCTATGAAGTCGACGGACCAATGTTCGAACACTAAAACGACCACCTGGAGGCCAGTGGTGTCTTAAGCTGGGTTGGCTTTAGCACGACTAATAAGCAGTCTGTCATCACGACGGGTAGTTAAACGGGGTCTTCCGGACCTTGGTCTATCATTTAACAGTTCCTGTGTCAACATGACGTTGTAAAAGTCTGACAATGACGGTGTGATTAACATTGAAATGGTTACCTATTATAAGTTATATGGTTCGCTACTGACCCCGTACGGATCCATAGAGGGTTAGTAAAATCCATAGGGGGTGAGGCCGGAGGCCGAATCTCCTATGGATTTTATTCACCCTCTATGGTCCGTAGGGGGTCAGTAGTTAACCGTATAACGAATTTATCGCACGCGATAATTTTTCTGCAGCGTTTTGTAGAAAACTAAACAATGAAATACAAAAACATCAATAGATGACGTCACCATTAACAGTAGATGTGACGTCATGAACCCACTATGGAATTTACTAACCCCCTACGGATCCATAGGGGGTCACCACGTGACGGCGTTAAACCAATCACAACGTGATAATTTACCCGCGGTGCGATAAGCTCCTAGGGCACCTACCCGCATTTGACATGCCAAATGCTTGCCAACGTTCAACCACAGATAACCTACGCCTTGCCATATTACACAATGACTTGATGAAGGTCAAATTTCACCTGTACGCGGGACAATAGGAAGATGATTTAAAGGTATCGAAACAGTGTATTTGTAAAAGTGCAGATGACCTTTAATAAAAGGTTGCTTGGCAGGTTTATCGGAGTTCAATCTTTTTTCTTTTTGGTCGTAATGAATTTTCTTAGTGTATTTTAAAGGCAAGTCATAACACCAAACATAAATATTTTTTCACAATAGTTAAAAAAAATATTGCCAGTTTTATTTAGGTGGTGTTTAACTTTTGGCGGACTGTATATATGGATCACCAGTCCTTCACCTTTCATTTGATTCCATAATTACCTAAATATATTCTGCATAGTTTGATATTTACAACTAGTATGTGTTGGAACTATTTTGTTTTAAATATGTACTACGTACTACTTTCCAGTATGTTCTTTTTTGACCGGGCCCGATTTGGTGAAAAAAATTCCGCTCAAGCCGGTACTAGGGGCCGTCTTTAACTTGCAGTTTGTTTTTCTATTATATAGATCATAGACTTTTGCAATATGTATATAACATATATAATACGTAATAATAGTCAAGTCTTTAAGGATCTTTGAGCATAATATTGTCCATTCAATTTTTGTTAATAAAAAATAATTTTTAGTCTAATTTTTTTATCTTTAGTAGCTTGACTTCTCGACTGAATGGTAAGAAGGATAAAATTAATAATAAATAAGATAAGGATCGTCACATGAAATCGATACACCACGTAGCAGTAACACGTGTACAATTTAAAAATAAAGTGGGAAAATACCGAAAATTAATACACATATTGTGCAAAAACAACGTGACATTTAATCAACATATATGTTTTTGAAACTTTAAGGTAAGAAGCATACGTGTTCAGGAAGTGGTAGAATTTTCTAGTATTTTGTACGTTAAAGATCTTACATAAATGTCAGATATCAGTAATAAACAGTTAATAACTGCTTCAATAAAAACAAGTATTTTTTTTATTTTAACAATACTTTTTATGAAATTATTGTGGAAGACTATTTTAACTTTGAATTAAACAACCATATGGAATATTTTAATGGAATTCAGTTACTTAATGACAAAAAATTTAAGATATTGTGATCTGACTAAAGCCAATCAATGACGAGGTAACTGATTTGAGATGTGGATGGTTTACACTAGTTTACGTTAAATTAGCTTTCGTCCGCAACATCCACTTCAAAATTTTGATCAGTACATTCACACAATGAAAATTAAATGAAAGTACGATTATACAATATATGTTTATTATTGGAAAATCATGTAAAATTCATTTGCATGAGTTTAAAAACAAAGAGATTCTGTCTTGTAGCGAGTACTGACAAAATTATATGATTTCCGACAATGAACATAATATATTGTTTTTATCCTACATTTAACAAAGTCGCTATACCATGCATACGTTTAGTTTTTTTTATTCTCAACCATTGAAATTGACATGCATCTACGCGGACCGCAACGAGGACCTACATCGACGTTAACAGTAAATTGTAACCTTACCGTTGTCAGGTTGTCTCAACATAGACACGTGATAACAGGAGACTTAATTTGTACATGTTTATTTGCACAAATTGCAGAATAAAATAAACATAGGTGGAGAAACGGTATTTACTGCTTAATACCGATATAAACTGAGATAGATAACAAAACAGCAAGTGACACCACAACAATATTATGATAATTTACGTAGAATGCCTGTAGTTACCGAAAGCATGCTTAAAGTGCTTAACATTTGCCGATATGAAATCATGCAATCATGTAGACGTGTAAAATAGGCAGCTGTACTTCTCAACTTCATACATACTCTGTGTGCGGGATTTTCTCGCTGTGTTGAAGACCCATAGGTGGCTTCGGCTGTTTTCTGCTCTTTGGTCGGGTTGTTGTCTCTTTGACGCATTCCTCGTTTCTATTCTTAATTTTATGAACGGTAAAGGATTATATCCTTATAAGTCTAAATCAGTACGTGATTATGGTTAAGACAATTAAAACAGTTTCGTCGTCATATGAGAAACTGAGATTCCAGAACGGTCCACCAACTCGTGATGGCGTCCGTAAAATTTTTGAACAGATGACTTTTACCTCTTTGAACTCTTGGTTTAATAACTTACTTGTAATTAGCAACCCTCTATTAAGGAAATCATGATAGGGAATGCAAGTTTTGGATTTCGTCATCAAGTTTAAGATTTCAGATATATGTTTGTACGATTTCTATTGCAAGTTGGTGTACTGTTCATTTCTTCCTAAAACTATAAATGAATTTACTATTGAACGTCGATTTGTCTCATTTTGTATATGAAAACTGCATATTTCATAACATTTCACCAACAACAAAAGGAACTTTATTTTTCACAAAAATGGTCTGGGTCATCACTTAACATATTTTCTTATATATATGTAAAAAGAAAATGGTTTAATTTGTAAAAATTAGCACATAATAACACCGCATCTTCATAAGATTTCATGATTTTTTTGACGGATTATAAAGAATTATCACGTAAGCATCAGTCACAAATATTATGTCTATTTCAGTATTAAAATGGCTGTTCCTATTACTTGGGAGGATGTCTGTAAACAGAAGAAACTAATAATTGTGAAGCAGAAAGGATGTGGTGTGCGAACTAGAAATGAACTTTCCCTAAAACGGACGGACATACAGTTTATTTCTAAAACTGAAATCGAAAAAAGACAATCATCTCTTTCTCCTATCCTAATCATGTTGTTTATTTTATTTTTGCTTAAACTCATTACTAAATCTTTTAAAGCACGCACTAAAATGAAATTTAAAACCATAGAGAAAACCAGAAAAGAGTCACAGGGTAAACTCCATGTAAAATTAGGATGGATATTTGACAATATAATTAAACCGTGGCGCTATGTTCCTTGCAATGTATACCAAACTTATCCGTTTCTTCCAGAAGAAACTAGTTCATACTGTCAAAATGGTGGACAATTACAAGCATCCACAAATATGCAATTTGAAGGTGCACGATTTGCTACTTTTGCTACATTCCCACATATTCCTGGGATTTTCGCAACTAGATTGGCAGAGGCAGGTTTTTATTATACTGGAAGCGGTAACGAGGTAGTATGTTTTAGCTGCGGTGTTACGTACAGTTGTTGGAGACATCATGACTCAGCATTCGAAATTCACAAACGTATATCCCCAAACTGCCCTTTCATATCAGATGAAACAGTAAAACACAATGAAGGAAATCAGAATATTGGTGGAAGTGGGGATAATAAGATTAAAGAGGAGAAAAATTATCAAAATGCAAGTGCTGCAACAAGCTCCGGGAATACCTTCTCGCCGCACGATAAAACACAACGTAACAAAAACGATAAAGATTCTGTTTCCGGAACTTCTATAATTAGTAATCCTACAGAAAGCAGATCAAATGCAGAAACTGTCGCTACTCATGGAATTTTAACTAACAGTAATCAAAACTTGGTTTCAACTTCCAAAAGAGAACAAAAAGTTCAAAAATCAGATGCAACCTCCACCGGAAATAAATTGAAAGAATCAACTTCATTGCTTATGGAAGGAACACCATCTTCAGAACTATTAGAGATAGGAGTATGCTTTGATAAAGCAAAATATCCAAAATATGCTATTCGATCAAATAGGCTTGATTCATTTAATCATTGGCCGAGTTACCTCACACAAACTCCTGAAGAAATGGCCACAGCAGGTTTTTTTTTCACTGGTAGGAATATAATTATATTGGCTCATCATACTATAGAACCAAGCAAAGGATATTTTATGTATACTACTTGCACATCAATACAAAGTATTTCAGTGTAAATTAATGAGAAAGTATTCATCCATACAAAGTAATAAGCTTAAAATCATATGTTCTCAAAGGGTATAACCACATTAAATGTTCGATATACTTTATAATATGACAACTACTAGTACTAGACAAACTTATTTTATTACCTAATGCTCTACTTTTCCATTTGGTAAAAAAGATGCATGACTTCGTCAGATATCTATTTTAGGTATTGAGGATCACTGCCGGTGCTTTTTCTGTGGAGGAGGATTGAGAAACTGGGAACCAGAAGACCAGCCGTGGACAGAACATGCTCGCTGGTATCCGAAATGTGCTTTTGTAAGACAGATCAAAGGAGAGAAGTTTATAGACGATGTGCAATCTAATGGATATCAACCAATACTACAAGAATCAGGGGAATTGGTAAAAAAAAAGTATCCCATATATCTTTCATCATATTATTGTATCAGGATTTCTTTAAAACTTAGTGTTTGAAAGGATAAAATCAAATATAGGACATGTAGTTCTTCCAACCTGCAAACCGCCTCGGTTTTTTGGTTATAGCGCTTTGTAACGAAGCGAGGAATATTGAGGTTTTCCTATTTATTTCCTGCAAGTTATCAAATATTCTTTTGTTTCAGACAATTATAATAAAAAAATCACGGTCTCTCAGCAATCACATCATACAACATAAACAATCCAAATATTAACCTTTTATTTTTCAGAATTTATGCAGTAGGCGACCTGATTTAACATCGACTGGCAAGAACCAAGTTACAGATCATTTCAGTACTCATCCTGCTGTGTTGTCTGTTAAAGAGTTTGGATACAGCGAAAGTCTGATAAAGAAAGCTTTTGATTTACTTCAGACAGCAGGAACAAAAGGTTTTTTACACCACGTTTAAAAATACAATTGAAAATGAACTATCTGATTACAGATAAGCACAAACGAATGGATCTATTTTTTCTAACGGTCAAATAAAACGAATCTATCAAAATATTTAGGACCTGAACTAAATCCTAATATTGTGTTGACAAATAGAAAATAATTTAGTTCATGCATGATTTATAGAAGTTGTACAATGTAAAGTAAGAGCTATAAATATATATAGAAATTGTGGTATGATTGCAAATGAGACAACTCTCCACAAGGTACCATATTAAATGATACAGAAATTAACAACTATAGGTCACCGCACGACCTTCAACAATGAGCAAATCCCATACCGCATAGTCAACAATGAGTATAAATAAGTTTAACCTCTGACCACACATTTTAATATTGCAGATTAGTTTTTACTAAAATATGCTTCATGCCAAATCATTTTGATTGTTGTTCAAACTTGACAAAATGAAATTAAATCTCATTTGAAAAGTCTTTTTACGCATCTCAAAATAAATATAAATTGTTTACCTTCGGGATGAAAAAAAAATATCCAGCTTAGGGGTTGTTTTTTAAATTGAATGATCGCTCTCGTATTTCACCTTTGAATTTATATAATCAGGTAAATCTATTGTTTGTCAGTATTTTGAGTAGTTAGTCAACATAAAAAGGAAAGCCGTACGGCCAATATCCCCGATGTTTGTTTTAGTCACAGATCAAAATCTAAAAGTTTTTTAAATTTGTATATATTAAAGTGTCTTTATCATAATTATACTTACATTTTTCAACGATTTGACATATTACAATAAAATCAAAATATGATTCGGCGCCACCTGTTGCTTCTGAAGGCTTTTTGATACAAATAAACTCATGATAGATACACCATTGCAAATTTTCAATGCTTTTTTTTCAAATTTGCATCGAAGAATGTCATTCACTCAGACAAAATAAATGACAGCAGAAAAAACCCACAATGCCAATATTTTGTTGGTTTTAATTAAAAATGTCCTTTTTATAAATATTTTTAGATAAATGGTTAATTTGAAAATTTAACAAAATGTTTCGAATGGTGGTTTTTTAAGCTGTCTCAAGGCATATATGACTGAGCTATTTGTTTAAAAATAAGTTATGAGGTTGTTAGAACCTCAAAGTATACACATGGAGCTGTGAAAATGAGAATTTAAGTAATGATTGAAAAACATTTTGAAATTGGTCAAAGTGTGAGAAAAAAATTCAAGGGAAACGGTTTTACCTCTTTATTATATCCAATAATTACAGTTATCACTGGTACAACCTTATTTGAAGCAATATTAATGATGGAAGAAAATACAACCAGGCACGAGTCTAATAACACTCTAAAGATGGAACAAGCAGAACAATCAGACCTAAGTAGTAATGAGAAACCAGAAACCACAGTAGATCCAGAATTTGAATGTAAATACACATTTTCATGTATTAAGTATAAATAACTTTCTTCATTTGCAGTATATAAAAAGGAAAGACTTGTGATACCATGTTTCATGATATCTAATTTAGTTATAGTTATAGCTTTATCTTATATATACAATATGACATGATCTATAGCATTCCATCTGTTGTTATCAATACCAACCAAAGCTTATAGATGTATGATAAGCAAAATATAGTTTTTTTTACATTTGTACATGCTACTCTAAACACAGAACCAGCCACATGCTTCATGAATAAAATTATAAGGTTAGATATGGAGTTTACTAAGAAATTAGAGAGTCCAATTCAGTATTAAGCTTTGATTATTACAGCTACACTGTATTTTATTTTCCAGTATCAATCAGAAGTTTGGAGGAAGAAAATCAAAACCTGAAAGATCAACAGACTTGTAAAATATGCCTAGACGAACCAATTGCTATTGTTTTTCTTCCATGTGGACATATGGCGTCTTGCGCAAACTGCGCACCAGCTCTACGAAGATGTCCTATATGTCGGGTGTTTATTAAGGGAACTGTTAAAGCTATAATGTGTTGAGATATAAAGCAATAATTAACTAAAGGCATTTGATCTGTAATGAAACTGTCAACAACTTTAAAATTTGTGTCAAAAGTACTAGCTGTAGTTCAGAATCTTTTGTAGTAGTGCCATATTTCTTAAAATCCGACGCATCGTGAAGGGCGAGTGCCATGCACTCTGCTCGTTAAAGAACCATTTCAACAACCCTCTTAAGGGTAGTAAGAATGCCAGTTTCAAAGCAAACTATGTATTCCCATCCGATTGCAACATGCCATTGACTCTCTGTATCACTCCAAATTCCCACCCTTCGTCCCAGTCCTGTTTTTTGTTTTAAATAATTTGTTTTCCTCATGTATATGCATGACATAATCCCCATTTGACATTAAGCAAACATCAAGCAATCATCAGGTTCACTCAAGACCAAAAGTAAAGTAAGACAAAATATAAAAGAGCACACATGTTACAATCAAAATGAACTTTGCAGACCTGCAACTGTTCAAGGTCAGCTGATGTACAGTTACATCATTTAAAATCTGAAAAGGGTGAAAAAAAGAGCAATTAAGTGGTCCCGAAAATTGCAGATGTAGTAAAATTCTTGAACGATTCTATTAATTTCATTGAGCAGTAGGGTGACATCATCTGGGCATTCTTTACTAAAGCAACGTCAATTGTGATATCACTATGTCATAAACATTAAGCTGTTGACACATTTGACCTTTTAGTTAAATGACTATATTAATCATACGTTTTGAGTAAATATAAATGATCTGTGGATGATTTCGAGAGATTTCGTTTTAAATGTTCAGGTATGGGCCGTCTTCCCCAAAAATATTTATCTCACATAAACACTTTTGCATTAGACATCTTGTAGAAAACATATTTTATTGAAAACCATGGCTCGCATCTAGATATAAGTGACAAGTCCAAAAATGAGGCTATGCTGGCAATTTAGCCAGCGTCATATTGTTTTATCCAAAACTGAAAGTTTGAAGCCAAAACGCAAATGAACAAGATAAATTCAACTGTACAAAGACGGATGTTTGGCAGACAAGTTGTCTTGAAAATAACTCAAGAATATTGTTTTGATATATTGTTAATACCTTTTGATATTCGAAATCATGGGTCAAACTTTTGCCTTACTATACCTTCTCCTTTCCAAAATCATGCCCGGTACAAAAACAATAACTGCTTGGCGTATGCTAGACCACCAATCTTACAGGACAAATAAAACAAAAAGACAAAATATTTTGTGATCGGGTCCTGACTGAACTAGAATTAAAAAGAAAGGAACACAGCTTACTGCAGATAAAGGGGAATGAATTGGCGTTGGTAAAAATGCATAAATCCTTGTCATTATAACACAGTTCTAGTCCAATTTACCGCAATCTCTTGGACCCATAGTTATCATCACTTGTCTCATTTTACTCATGTTAAGAAAATTGATTAAAGTCTAGAGTCCTAGAGATTGCGGTTGATTGGTGTCGGACATGCATTTAAAAATACTTATGATATCTTATATGTCTTATATCCAAATTTTGCATTTCGGCTTCTTGTTTTAATATATGTGCGACGTAATTTTAAGTTAAGAAAGCTTGGAAATTTATAAAACGATAGCAAAAGGACCAAAAACATAAACGGTAATATAAATATTACTAACTTATTCCACAAATTACATGAAAAATACTATAATTCGATATACCAATTGATCTTTTAAACTTCCTTATTAGTTCTTTAGATCTTATAAGCGTACTATGCAATAAACAAATTCTACATTAGTTTTAACTTAAATATATAGGTTGTTCCTGGTCGTATTTTTATCATTACTTCAACATAATATATACATGTACTTCCCCTTTGACTTATCATGTCCTCGATATTTGACTTGCAATAAACATTTTAAAACATGCATAACAATATAAAATGCCTTAATTTGCATAAAATAAGGGTTATCACCTAAGGTTAGTAACAATTTGCAGACATAAAAATGAAGAATAAACGCATTGTTTGGACTCATACTTCATGCACATATTGATAATGCACATATTGACAGTGCTATGTGTTTATAAAGATGACAAAAGAGTAGCCATAAAAAATGTCTTCGTATATATGCAACTATTGACAAACATTCTAACCAAATGAACCGTGTATGTTCCTATATCTGACTATACCAAAAACACTAGAGGTAAAGCTATCAAGTTTATCAAATGGTACCCCGTCCCTGAATAAAGGAATGACAAAGTCTATTATTTGCTGAGGGAAACCTAAGAAATAATATGATCAAACACAAAACAAGTGGTGCATAATTGCTTTATCTATATTTAAGATTCTAAGAAAGCATTAATATATTCTGATAAGGTGCTTAGGAGATAAAACAATTGTTCATGATTTACTCAGGGAAACACCAAGTATAAATCGGATATAATATAGGAGGAACACAACTGGCTAAAATGAAGAAGATTATGAAAGAATCAATAGATTCTGTTAAAGGAGTAAGAAGGAGAAGCAGATACAAATGTGTACTTAAGTGAGCAGATACATGTATGATAAAGTCCATGTTATGCTAAAGTTAACCCCAGAAATCCTACGAATGAAAAATGAAATAAGAGGTTCAAAAGTACACCATGTTATTAAGATTTTGTGAAAGGTGAAAAAAATATTTGTCAAGCGGTTTTGCAGCAGTAGCGTATACAAATGTGGTAGAGGGACGCACGGATGGACGAATAAACTACTAGCTAGCAAATGTCGATCGGATATTGATAATGCATTGGTGGTGTAAGTCCAGTGGCAAATAATACGTGTATAGCAGGAGGACAACAATTTAAAAAAGATATATAACAATGCTTTATATATTATTCTGTCTTCTAGTTGACCAGTCTGCTCTTACTTTTAAAGGTTGCATTCTTAGAGGAGAAGCAGCAACTATCAAGTCTTTGATTTGAACCGACCGAGTATCGAATCCTCGACTTCAATCACTTGAAGCGAGCATGTTAGTACAAGACCATTGACTCATTCTGAGGCAGTTTGAACGAACACAACGCCCACTCCCTTCAACATATTGCCCGCTTCACAAAGTGGGGTATGATTTATATATGTTTCATTCCAGCTTACTATATATCAAAATGCCAAAACATATATGGCAATGCTGATTATATTAAATTTAGATAAGTAGTCAATTAAAATATAGAATGCTAATACTAACTGATCATCGTTACTTTTTTACTTAAACAATAAAAAAAAATGTTCAGAGTTATGATCTCTACTGAGATTAATTCAAATACAAATAATACAAATCATATTTTTAACTTGAACCTTATTATCCTAATTATTTTGCGTTTAGAAATGGTTTGTGAAATAAGTCTTGAAAAGAGTATATGTTGGTTGTTGATGATTGTTGTGGATTGTTGTTCAGTTCAATATTTTTGGAAATATCTGTTGTATTTTGTATGTTTTTTTTTCAAATATCAGTGCACTAAATCGTTCTAAAACGAAAATAAACAAAACTTGAACTCCCTTTATTCTTTCAACATTGTAACATGTGGAAATATGACAACGCTAATCTAATGCTCTGGATTTTTCGGGTGTCTTATAGTATTATTTTTATGTCCTAAATGCAGGGGAAACTTTATTTTACAATGAAAATGTAAAAGTTTCACCTATTAACTTTAAACAAAAAAAAAGTGTTGTATATCATCAAATCGTATATTGATATTAAGTTATCTATATGGTCACTAAATGTCCAATTGTGTTGAATTTACTGTTTCGAACGTGCATCCTAGTTAAAAGCTATCAAAAGTTATTGTCAAACGCTTATTGAAACCAAATAATAGGTGATTTATATTTTATTAGGGAAAAAAGAAATTCAATGCAAAAGTTAGTTAAGCTATTCACATGAAAAGTTTATAAATAAGTTTACGATTATTGGTTTAAATGTACTTCCTTCTTACATGTAATACATATGACCAAATGACACTTTTATTTTAGTATGGATCAATTATTTAATTACCGGTCATATGTAACACAATATATATTATATATTTCAAAAATTCTCAAGTGTGAGTTTTCATTTTCTATAGTCACTTCTGTGTTGTTCACTCTGTGGTGCTTGGTAAATTATTCCCAAACTGTTTTTTTTTTTTTTTTTTTTTTGCTTCATTTTCCCACAGCGAACCGTGGTAAGGGAGACATAGAAATACCGGGCGTCCGTCCGTCCATCCGTCCGGTCTTGTAAGCGCTCTCACGTGTACAATTCTTGCCAGAATGTCATGAAAGTTTTATCAAAAGTTTATATCCCCTTAGTTTATTTATTTTGTATTTACATTGTATCATAGATCAAATTTATTTGTTCAGTGTATGTTCACTGGTGTTAATATGTCTTTCGATTGAGTCAAGCCATTTCAATTAATATTTTATAGTGTGTCTTTCTATGTTGTGATGTTACACTATTGTTTCAGATAAGGGTGAATGTTTGGTACCATTAAAACGTTTAAACCCGCTGCAATTGTTTGCACCTGTCCTAAGTCTGGAATCTGATGTTCAGTCGTTTGTTGATGTGGTTCATAAGTGTTTTTTGTTTCTCGTTTTTTATATAGATTAGACCGTTGGTTTTCCCTTTTGAATGGTTTTACACTAGTAATTTTTTGGGGCCCTTTATAGCTTGCTGTTCGGTGTGAACCAAGGTTCCGTGTTGAAGACCGTACGTTGACCTATAATGGTTTACTTTATAAATTTTGACTTGGATGGAGAGTTGTCTCATTGGCACTCATACTACATCTTCCTATATCTATGTCTCGGGCAAATTACAAAAAATTAGTGCCAAGCAACTGTTTTCAAAGGAGTTATTTTTAAATGTTCGGTGATTATGTTGCACGCGTCATTCCCATCAAACTTGAAATAAAAGAGGGACGAAAGACACCAGAGGGACAGTCAAACTCATAGATCGAAAACAAACTGACAACGCCATGGCCAAAAATAAAAAGACAAACAGACAAATAATAGTACAGATGACACAACATAGAAAACCAAAGACTAAGCAAATAATGGATACAACAGAAAAAGATAAGTCTGCCTCATATCTTTACTTACATCTAGAAATTGGCAATTAGCGCTTGAGAACAAAACTTTACGACAACAAGATGTGTTAAGCTGCCCAATTGTGAACTTTCCATTTCTATGT